AAAAGTGTATCTATATCTTTGATGAGAGAAAAAAAGTTTGATTTTGTAAACCAGGGATATTATATGCTCCTTTGATAAAATACAGATTGTATCCCACTCAGTCTATAATATGTTTTCCTTTCTCAATAACTTCATAGTTACATATATGACCCATTGTTTCCAGTGTCCTGTAAAACTAATGAAATTGTTTAAATAAAATAATAATTATTTGTCACATAAATATTTGGTTAGAGGGCTTGGCTAGATACAAAATACTGTCACATACATTTCTACACACAATCAAATATAACTTCCATAAAACTGATTTATTTTATATGAAACCAACCTTATTTATTTAAAATTTATGTAAGCTCACAAGAATTATACTTAGATGTACAAATACAATTTAGTTACTACTCAGTATTAATCTAGCAGTAGCAATTAAGTAGCGAGGTCTTGTCCTTTACATTTGGAAGTTGGACATGTAATTATACCTTATAATTATACTCAAAATTTACACAAGGACAATTTAGGTGTTTCTATGCAACATTTACTGACAAGCTCTCACATGGTGTTATGATACATAAATGTCTTAACGTTAAAACTTAAACCACTTAAAGATGACCTTCAGTTACATGTATATGAGATGGTAAATGGCTTTTAATTATAATATATGCAAGGTAATGCTTGTGGGTTAACATAATGTAAGTTATAATTTTGATGGTAATAACCTTAAGTGTTTTGGAAGAAAATGATCTTGCTGTTCTGGTTGATCAGTCTCTTATGCCATCCATACAGTATGCTGTTGCTACTGGTAAGCTAAATATGATTTTAGATTGTATCTACAGAAATATTGAACACAAGTCTAAAGAAGTTATAATTTCATTGCATAGGTCACTAGTTAGACTTCATTTGCAGTATTATGTTTAGTCTTGGGCTACAAGTATGATACCTGAAATGGAAAGGTTATGGTGAGAATGATAAGATTATAGTACACATACACAAATCTTGGCAGGGTAAGACATTTTTATTTTTCTAACAGGGTAATTAGTTTTTGGAATGGGTTACCTTCAGATGTGGTAGATGCAGTAAATTTAAAGGACTTCAAGGAAGGCTTCATTACTATTTAAATGATAAGGGTTGGCTTTGGATTTGTTATTTATGTTCAGTTTGGTTGATAGGAAAGCCTTGTTATCCTTAAATTTTATGTTATACTGTATTAAATGTATGATCCAAATTATGATAACCCAATTGCATTATACCTTGCATTTATTATAATTAAATTTCATTTGACAAACATTTGTCCAACTATTCAAGTCATTCTGTAGTACCTAAACATTCACAATACAGTTTAAAATACCCAGGAGTTTAATATCATCAGCAAAATTTAATAATCATGCTCTTATTAGTACCAATAACATAAAAGAGGAGGAAAGACCCAGTTACTAACCCCTGAGGCAATCAATTCACTGCTACAGAATGCCAAATCACAACAACAGTAGAAACTTTGTGTCACAAATATGAAACAACTGTTTTAGAAATAAACTATTCAAATAGTATGGCTTTGGTTGAAAAACTTCTTGTACATTATGCTTGACAAAGATAAAACTTGATTGCCAGATGTACTAAAAATTTTCTTCTTTACATTTTTATATAAAAATGGTTTTGATGCTTGAAATGGATGGTTTTGGGAGTGCAAGATTTTCATGCAACAACTGATGGTTTCTATATTATTTGAAAGTAAAGGATTCTGTTTCAGAAGTATTTTAAATTAAAAAATAGTTAAATCAGTGGAATGATTTGTTCCAACAAATTTCATTCTTGTGCAGAGTTTAATGAGTTATAGACCAACAATGTTTTAAGCTAAATGACTTAGCATTGGAAGAGGTGGTTATTACAAACAAGTACAAGAGGCTTGAATATGTTTTGCCACCTGTTTTACGTATGCTTATTATGAGGATAACTTGATACACAGCCTGAAAATTATAATTTTCTACACTGAAAATGTATTTCCTACAGGTACTTACTTCCATTTACATACATAGCTATTCTCGTACATTTGCGAAAACTTTATCGTATGCCACAAGCCTTTCACTCTCATGCACCATTGGATTCACATGGTTTAACTGATTCTCGCAAGCAAATTATCATGCGATAAGTCTCCACCAACAGTTGAGAGGAAGGGTGGGAAGTGTGAGTGGAAGTAATTACTTGTCAGAAATACATTTTCAGTGTAGGAAACTTATAACTTCCGACAAGGTATCTTACTTCTGCTCACATACATAGCTAGAATCCCAATTGAACAGGTGGAGAGAGAAAGCAGAAGTATCCTTCAAAAGCGTCTCAAGGACACCCTAATGAGGAGACTGTCTAATAAGAGGATATGTGGGAGACTGCACCATTTCTGTACCAGGTGTGGAAAGGATGTGACAGATCTGGGCAGAAAATTGTGAGGAGCACATCCCAATAAGAGAGAAAACAGCTGGACAGTGATCCTAACCACAATATATTATAATTTCAATCTCCCTGATGAACAGAATATGGATAAAATAAGGGATGTGCCCCAAGGTGTAGATTGGCTAGGGAGCAATGGAATGTACATGGCAACTCAACCACCAGGAACCAACATCCATGCAGGGGTAGGAATGAGGATCATACCATCTTCACCTCAAGTTCAGCCAACTGGAGGGAGAAATCCCACTTTGATCTGTGAACAGGACACACATGAGAAGAATGAAATAACATATATGTATATCCCAAATCAAGAAGACTGGAACCACCTCAAATGCAGCAACATCCTCGGCGTAAAATGCAGACTACCTGACAAAAGACATATAGAACAGAAACGAGTCTGTAGGACAAGGCACAAAATTGGTACCGTTTTACCTAGTGAAAAAAAACTAAAATAGCTTCCTGATAAATGAAAAATATGCATGTGTACTGTGAGCATTCTCACTCCTGCAGAAATTGCCAACCTTATTGTGATCAAAAACTACATAACAAAAACATGGAAGAACTAGAGGGGAAGGCAACTAGTTAAGACTTTTCTGAATAGCTTTTGTTATTTTTTATAACATGAAAAATAATATTGGGTTAGTAGCATTATCCCGTAATTTATTTTTTATCACATTATACAGTGACATTTAACATACTGCAAAATTCCCAACTTCTCCATGTAATCATTTGATAATGCCAAAGTGAAACCAAGAAGGCATAAACCACATGTACATACAAAATTTAAGTTCATAATATAGGATATATTATTATGTATAGAACTCAATCCATTTGTGATTACATAGTTTATATAAACTTTTCATGATCTCATTGCACTTTGTGACAGTTTTTGTAGAAAATATCAGTTCTTAATTTATATTTGGTTTAGAAAAATACTATCACTGTTTAATACAACTTGCATGAAATATTAAATAATATTGGAATTATTGACTGCAATATCATATATTCCTCAAGTATAATCATATATTTCCTATTTTGCCCCAATTTTAACATGATAAATTTAAACCAAGTAATACTGGATTCTCATTTTTTTCTGTCCTACAGTTTGTCTCACCATATATACTTCTCAATTTTTTGTGAACAATTTGATTGGTTATTTCCATACGATTTTTCTACAAAGTGATCAGTTGTTGTGCTGAAGAAATGAAAAGGTATATCCTGTGTATGATATTAAAATAACTAAATAACAGGTTACCTGTTATTATGTCAATAATTTAATATAAAAAATATTTTCTTTCAAACACTAACAGTAAAAACTAAAGCAAATGAACACAAGGACTAAAAAGTAAGACAAATACTGCTTTAATCAATATTTTCTCCCATGCTCTGCTGGAATATAATGTTAATAAAAAAATGATCATACCACAATATACAGAACCTGTAGCACTCAAATCAGCTGTTCCACAATCTTGTTATACAGCTACCTTACATCTCACATTTAAATGACAAATGTGTAATTAAACTAACCACTAAAAGCCAATAACAAGCTAATAGGAAGTGATTACTTAAAGTATTAAAAATATCTGAATATTTAAGCAAAAACATATCAAGTTTATTTTTTTTGAAGAAATTTTCTTACACAGCTGAAGATTTTGACAAGAAATTTCTAAATTTACATTTCATAATAAAATTTTGGTGTGGTTGCATAAAGTTAAGAAATTGGCAAGTTTAATTTCTTAAGTCAGCTGGTCAGTGCATTGAAAATTCTTCCAGATTTTAACTAAGGTCATTTACATATTCTAATACTCAGCTGCAAATAATAAAATGTATGATACATTTAATTTTAAAAATGATTAGTTTTCAATATGTTTGTCAATAAAATAGGTATGTTTATTCTGGTGGTAACTGTTTATGCACATTTTTTAAAACTTTTGTATTTATTGATATACAGTAAAAATAATTTTAATAAATAAACAATGCACACAACCACAATGCACTATTCATCATTGTTAATATTTTACCCATGAACTTCCTATGAAGTACATACACGAATGTTTATGAGCAGCATAGAAAGCTTCTGGCTTAGTATTGATAAAAAGGTTAGACAAAAATGACCTTTAAACCCCATATAATTATAAAATATATTTTAACCAATGTTTTGCCTTTGTGATTTCATCAGGGTTAGTACATACAACTGATTGACATTAGAATATTCATTAAATTATATAATTTAGTACAGACAACTGATTGATATTAGAATATTCATTAAATTATATAATTTAGTACAGACAACTGATTGATATTAGAATATTCATTAAATTATATAATTTAGTACAGACAACTGATTGATATTAGAATATTCATTAAATTATATAATTTAACAAATATTCCAATATCAATCAGTTGTATGTACTAACCCTGATGAAGACACAAAGGTGAAATGTTGATTAAAATAAAAAGTTATTTTATAATTATCTGGAGTTTAAAGGTTTTTTTATTAACCTTTTTATCAAAATGTGTAAATCCCTCCAGTGTGCACTACAAATTTTGAAAGACAGGTCACTTAGTTTGTCTAAGTTAAAAGTTTTGAAAAACTCAATAATCTTTGTTATAAAAATCACAGTAAAAACCTTTCCAAAGATTTTACAAGACCAAATATATGCTTGTTATTGTTTATTGTGAGTAAATACTAAATAAAAACTAAATAACAGAAGTGAATCAGTTTTTACATGATGTCAGAAAAACATGTAGGTTCAAGAAGTCTTAATATTAAATGATAAAAACCCTATAACCAGAGTGTTTTTGAAAGGTGGACATTTTGAAAGTGCTCAGATTTTAGGGTTTTTATAATTTTATGTTAATCATTTATTAATACATTTTGCACACATGTATGTGTGTGTGTGTAAGTATATATGTTTTTTTTTTCTTCAAATAATATACTTGTATACCTTACAGACATGATTACATGGAAAAACTTTTCTTGTATATTCTTATCACATAAAGGGTATAATTTTTCGTCTTAAGCAAGCAAATGAACTTAATCCAGTCACCAAACCTAACTAAATTAGCAAATAATACTTATACAAACAAATGTTACATATATAAAAATAAACAAGTTCTGTTAAATAAAACTGAACTTAACCATTACAATGAGAGAATACCTTGCAAATGGCTTTGAACAAATAAAGAGTACTGTTTAAACTCTAAACAAGTTCAGGATTTTAAAATTAAGTTTATAATGAAGTAAAAAGTTACATTATTTTATCTAAACTATTAATATATCAAAAAATAACAACTATAACCTTGAAAATTCCCCAAAGTATTTTTATAACCCTTCTAGGAATGAAATATGTTAAGTTATATTGGTTGTGGTAAGTATATGTATAATACACTTAGACTCAGTTAAATTATGCAAGAACTTCGAAGCATTTTTTTTTACTCATGGCTTCATGGATTAACAACTGGCTACTTATTTCTTCTGTTAGCTTTTCATGGGTTTAAACATAAATGTAAATCACAAGCTACATATAATTTTGAAACTTTAATACATAGTGTGCAAGGAAACAAAATTATAACAGTGAAGATGAAAAACAGCTGCAAATTCTAGACATGTGAAAAGAACACAAAATATAAAATACAGTATTTTAATGGCTAATAGGTTCCTCAGATCTTCCATTGGAAATCAGCAAAACTTTCTTCCAGGTTTGAAGACCAGTTCTAATATATAACAAGAAATATATGAATGAATAACAAAACATGTAGAACAGTTCTGATTCAGCTTCTTTTTGTTTTTATAACTTGGTAAAACAAAATACCACAAAAATAAAATTAGTACTGGTTTTAATGTATGGTGAATACTAGGTTATGAACATAATTTTAATGACATTTCACCCCATTAACTTAGTTTACACACTAATTTAAGAGTTTTTCCAATTTTTAGGGCAAAGACAATTGTTACCTTCTGCAATTAAGATGAAATTCTTATATCTGTACTTGGTCATCACTACATAGTTTAATTGGTGTTGTATTTACTGACATTCCTATGAACAATTTCAGATAGCTAGAGCCTTAAAATACACTTTCTCTGTAGAAAAATATATCAATAGGTGTGAGAGTACAAACTAAACTTCAACAAAAAGCATACTTAGAAGAATCAGTTGTATTCTACTTTATATTGCTAAAATGCAGACACTGACACTGCTTAAAACTGCAACTTTTAGTTACTCATAATGAGCTTTATTGCCTCATGTAACCTAGTATGTTTATTATTTCAGTTTATAATTCAAGTTTAGTAATTACAGATTTCAAGTCATTCATGTTTATACATATCTTGTCTGATAAAACAGTAAAAATTCCAAAAAAAAAGGCATGTTCTAGTAATAACTGTGACATGCAATAGGTAATACAACAGTCCTTCAACTGGAATATTACAGCATAACATATTTTTCCCACTTCAAATCCGAAATTCAGTGCAAGTGGATGTTATGCCTTAACCACAATACTTAATACAATATGGATCCCTACTGTAGAGAAACTCGTACATTCCAGATTTTAAGATATGATCCATAATGACTTGGTATATTCTTACATAAAACCATTTTTTTATATATATGTTAAGATAATCACTATGATGATGATGTACAATACTTCAGAAAATAAAATATTAAAAACACTGTGATCTTGTAGTATGTAGTTCTGAACCAAAATCACAGGATTTAAATTTCATTATATTGTTATTTAATATTTGTGGGATACTTTGGAAATTTTGGTTTTACTTAAATGTGACATATAAAACTTTCTGCTCTCAGGTCAGTTTGATTAGATACGTAGAATGTATTACCTTGAGGAGTTAATAAACATTAAAAATTGTGAGCATTTGCTTTTGATGTATGAATAGAAAATATGAAGTCAAACCTGTGACTTCTTGATATGTGCAGGAAGACGTTTAGAAGAAAAATGTTTTGGTACTCACTGCACTGTTAAGCTTTTCTAAGCACTTGTGTATGTAACATTTTGTATTTAATAATGTTTAAACATAATCAGGATAAAAAATCACAAGTACCTTCAGGCAACAATTATAAATGACAGTTATATCTATACTTTAATACTATAAATATTACAAGTACCAGATTAACGTATAGGCAATCTAGGCCCAGGCCCTGCTGGCCACCCAAGTAGAAAAAATGATGGTTCATAAAACTAGCAGAATAAAGGCAAGAGTGAATTATTATTATTCCCAAATATTACCTGGGCCGAGGGCCCCACTAAACCTTAATCTGGCCCTGAATATTACTAAATGTTAAAACTTACAGTATGAATATATGTGCAGTTTAAGAAGTTAGGCTTGCATATTCTACATAAGTATAATAAGGGAGTTAGTATAATCACATTATATGACAATTTCACAGTTTTACCAAACCTGTAAAAGGAAGGAGGGATCTAATATAATTTGTAAAACTCTGTAGTTACTATATATTTAATGTTATGTTTCTACAAATATATATTTGTGTAACATACTTATATTAAGGAGACTAACTGTCCATATCTGTGAATCATAATTCTCAATTCATATAACAAGGAATATATTTTCAACAGATCTGTGGCTCCAGACTAATATTAAATAATTATTTTTAGTGAATGGTTGAACAGTGGTTTATTATTAGTAATTTTGTTCATATTGTAAGTTCCAAGAATAATTTTGATAAAACAAACAATAAATAAACTTTGGGCTAACTCCACAAACTCTTTATTTAATGCAAGATTTCAAGCTTTTCATCAGGTGAGAGACAATTTGAATATGAATGTTATATTAAATACAACAATGTAGAACATTACATAATGTGGAACAACTAAATGTATTATAAGCAGAAAAAAGACAAACAGGTGCCATGTTACATCAATTAAATAACTATATCTATACACAAGATTAATTAAAATGGAAACTATATAATCATAAATTATTTACATGTACATAAAATGAAATTGAACATTAAAATAAAATTTAAATGGAAATATAAAGAGGTCGAAGGAACAAACTATTGTATATAAATATAATAAATTCACAACATAAAATATATAATGTTAAGACAACATGACTGTATTCCATAACTTAATGATATACATATATATATATTCTAGCATAATCATAAATTCAAGACATGTTTTGATCCAGAATTTCTTACACATGGCTTTCCTTTATTCTCCTACTTGATTCACTGTCAATATACTCAATTTTATTTCAATTGACTTCTTATTTGCAAGTAAACCAGCATTTAGCAACAGCTAATTTTGCCATACCATAATATGGGATGAAGGTGTTTTTTGGATTTATTAGTTATGCAAAACTAAAGAAATATGCTGGTTTCCTTAATCTACTGCTTCCCATAGTTACATTTATCACTATAAATAATATCTCATTACTGAAGTTCAAGTATACGATTTTTGGTCTTAGTTAAAATGTCTTAAAATTACACAATCACAACATTTTTTTAAAAATATGTTGACATTTAGATTCAAGTTCCAGAAGGAAGGACAACATGACAGTTGGTGGTTGCTTTTTGTCTTCTTGTTTTTTACATTATGATTTGCTTGGTAATTATTTTGATTACAAAAATGTGGATTAAATGTTTTTCTAAGAATTTAAAATCACAATGGCTTGGGAAGATATACATGATAACACTTTTTTTATCTTATACAGAATGACAATTATCAAACTTTAAATACTGATTTGTATGTGTGTGTGTGTTGGCTTTCTACATACTAATGTGATTAGTTTTGCTTGCCTTTTATTACCAAAGTATCTAGTAAGGGAATTTTAATATAATTTTCTACTTCAGTTGTAAACTAGATGGATGGATGCTGGTTGTTTAAATGATTATACTTTTATGGAATTCAAACCATGGTTCCAAATTATAAATATGTCATTAATGTACCATCACTAAAAGTAATTTTTCAAAAGAGATGTGGCAATAGTTCAATCTTCTATATCCTCCAGGTAAGAAGAAAAAAGGCATACATCTAATAGTTTTATGACACAAGACTTAGATGGAATTGTTCATGATGTTGGTGATAACAACTTCAATTTTGATATGAGTAACTGTGACTGAAACTCTAGTAAAAACTAACTAAAATATCATTATCAGCAATCCCAACATCATGCACTTTTGGTATAATATCAGAAGAGTTCTTAAGATCAGAGACTGTATGATAAGCCATAAGCTACAGAAGCAAATAAGCTTGCAACATGTTTAGCTGTATTATATGTAAGATTGTTAATGTACTGTATTTTCATGTAAATAATCCACCCCCTGGTATACCCCACACCTGAGGAAAAAGAGCTGTAAGAAACTTTTAGCCATGTATTACCCACACTCATGTATACTCCACAAGCCAGTGACACAGACAAATTTTGGAAGAAAAGAAAACATTAAAGAATCCTTTTATATTACATTAACACAACAAAACCTTCACTAAACAAAGATTCCAGATTAGAGGTTAGTAACCTGCTGCTGTCTTTGGTTAAATCTACAGGAGGTCTTTCCACCAATCAGAAACAGGGATACACCATCCAAGCAGAACACGTCCTTCACAATCCACCAGAATACTATAAAGACTTGATAAAACCATACACACACTGACCTGAAGATGAAAGGCAGAAGACTTTGGAAACATTGTTCTCTATATTTCCATCCATTCAATAAAGTTCACCATGTTGACTGTTGAATTTTATATCATTTTATGAATTCATTCAGATTATTATAAACTGCTATAAAAATTACTGCAGTACAATGTCTGCTGTAAATACTAGGAAGAGAAAATGTACAAGTTACATTGTAAACTGAAAGTTTCTCACTATGTGGAAAAACATGGCAAAAGAGAGGCTGGTCGTATTTTCGAAGTGGACCAAAAACTGTGAGAATGATGGAAACAAGCCAAAATTAAAAGAAATACCAGAAACTAAATGAGCCATGAGGGGTGGATGTGCAAAGTGGTCAACACTGGAAGAAGATCTGAAAGCCTGGATTACATAAGAGATGTGGGCAATTCAGTATCCATGACCCTGATGCCCCTTCAAGCACAGCAAATGGCCAAGCAGATGGGTATTGCTGATTTTACAGGAAGACCTTAGAAATTAAACCCCAATGCTGTGTAAAACACAGCATAACCTCTATGCCAGAACCTTGAGCTTTTGGATAGCCAGGTGAACCATATTCGATCATGGCTGCCTCCACAGAGAGAGCCTATAAGGAAGTGGAAGAGTTGAACACACCAGGACTGCAGAAGTAGAAACCCGAGTGTAGTCGGCAATCTGGTGCGATCAACAGGATCTGACAACGAGTTGGAACAAATCATATTTCATACCCTGGGTAATATACGAAGTGGAGAAAAGGTTGAGAGTAGTAATCCCATCCTGTCCAAGACCCAAAGATGAGGTACTGGAGACCAAATTGCCAGTAGTTGGGTGATCCAATGAGAGGTCAACCCACCAATTAGAGTTGCAAAATGAGAAGTAATCCAACTGAACCATGAAATGCAACATTTATCCTGTCAGGAGAATCTGACTGGATTGAGACAATGGATCTGCTACCACAGGCATCACCCGTGGAACATGGTAAGCTAGAAGGGTGATAAGATAGACGAGTTCCGACAAGGAGGTCCAAAATTCGAAAACAAGGAGCCCTAGACCACGTGCCTCCTTGATGAGAAACACAAGACAT